CCCTGGAAGTGCCCCAGGGACGCCACAGCCTGGGAGGGGCCCCTGTGGAAATCACTTTCCCTGGAAGGACCCTGAGGGTACCACTGTGTCCCTGGGGAGAGAGCCTGGCAGGTCGCTGCTGTCCCACAAAGAGCCCTGGGGGCACCAGCACCCCTATCAGAGCCCCTACTGGGGACGCTACTGCCTCTGGGATGGCACCTGGGAGAGTCACCGTCTCTGGTAAGAACCAGAGGGCGTCCCTGGGGGGCCTGTGGGCACCACTACCCCGGGAAGGTTCAGGGGAGCACCGTCGCCCCTGGGACGGAGCCTTGGGGCTCCACCGCCCCTGACGGGAGATGTGGTGGCATTACCACCTCTGACAGGAGCCCTGAGGCGTCCCTCTTTCTGGGAGGGCCCCTGAGGTGCACCACCACCTCTGGCAATGCCCATGGTAGATCTCCTGCGGACGCCACCGCCCTGGTAGGAGCTCCTGGAGGCTATACCACCGCCCGGGTAGGGCCCTTGGGAGCACCACTATTCCTGGGAGGAGAGCTCCTGTGGGCACCACGACCCTAGCAGGACCTAGGATGGTCCCAATTACCGTCGCCCCTGGGGAGGACCATGGGGGCACCACCATCCCACTGCAGGGTTGCCAGGAACAACGCCCTAGGGGCGTCACCAGGCTGGAGGACCCTGGGAGCACTGGCGCCCTGGCAGGGGCTATATGGGGCTCAGGGAGTACCACTGCCTCTGAAAGGGCTCCTGCGGGCATGCGGCCCCTGGAAGGGCTCCTGGGAGCACCACCACCGCCCTAGCAGGCTCTGGGGGCGCTGCTGTCCCTGGGAGGGCGCTGAGCTTGCTGTCCACAGCGGCCCTGTGCCCACCTAAGAGATATGACGTTAAATAGATGATGCACCGTCCATCGCATTTCCCAGTATCATCATTATCTGAACAATGACAAAGGAGAATAAATATCCAACAAGGAAGAAGAAACATAAATTTGGGTGTTGTGTGCCGACTGAATGCTCTGTTCTCATATTGCCTTTAATTTGGTGGATTTCCATTTTATTCAGTTAAGTAAGGAATTGCTGGGCGTATGCAATATTGTCGACACCACACGCTCAAGCCCCTAGGGGTGTGTGCTTTCTGGAAGGAGGCCCCTGGGAGGCGCCACCACCCCTGGCAGGACCCTGGGCCGGCCCGGTGGCAGCTATGCGTCCTGGAAGGGCCCCTGGTTGTGCACCACCACCTCTGGCAGAAGGGCCCCTGGGCGGGCCCCAATGGGCGACGCCATCCTGGAAGGGCCCTTGGTAGTGCCACCGCCCCTGGAAGGGCCTGGGGACGCCACCGCCTCTGGGGCCCCTGTGGGAATTACCTTCCCTGGCCTTGGGACCGCCGAGGGTACCACTGTCCCTGGGGAGGCCCTGTGGGCCGCTGTCCCGCGAGAGCCGGTGGCGGACACCCAGAGCCCCTATCAGAGCCCCCCTGGGGACGCTACTGCCTCTGGGATGGGACCTGGAAGAGTCACCTCTGGCAGGGCCTCAGAGGGGGCGTCCCTGGGAGGGCCTCCTGTTAGCACCACACTACCCCTGGGAGATCAATTGGGCGCCGTCGTCCCTGTAGAAGGACCTTGGGGGCTCCATCGCCCTGACAGGGAACCTGGGTGGCATTACACCTCTGACAGGGCCTGAGAGTCCTGTTTTACAGAAAGGGCCCCTGAGGGGCACCATTGCCTCGAGGCAATGCTGGCGTTACATCTCCAGTGGGCGCCACCGCCTCGGAGAACTCCTGGAGACGATACGCCCTGGCAGGTGCCCTTAGGAGCACCGCTGTCCTGGGAGGCTCCTGTGGGCACCACAACCTCAGGACCCCTGGAATGGTCCCAGGGTCACCGTCGCCCTGGGAGGGACCATGGGGGCACTACCAAAATCCTGCAGGGTCCTTGGGGTACCAACGTCTCTAGGGGCGTCACCGCACCTGGAAGGACCTGTTAGCACTACCCCTGCATGGGGAGCCCTTGCCCAGGAGGCTGGGGAGCACCACCTCCTCTGAGGGGCTCACGCGGTGTGATCACGCACCTGGAAGGGCTCCTAGGGGCGCTGCTGTTTCTGGGAGGGCCGCTGAGGCGCCACTGTCCCTGCAAAGGGCACCTGGGGGCGCGACCGCCTGAGATATGACGTTAAATAGATACACCGTCCATCGCATTTCCAGTATCATCATATCCTGAACAATGAAAGGAGAATAAATATCCAACAGGAAAACATAAATTTGGGTGTTGTGCCGACCCAGTTGCTCTGTTCTCATAGCCCGCGCTAATTTGGTGGATTTACATTTTATTCCACCAATCAGAGTTCAAAATGAGGAATTGCTGGGCGTATGCAATATTATTGACACCACGATCAAGCCCCTAGGGGTGTGCTTTCCATTGGAGGCCCCTGGGAGCACCACCACCCCTGGCAGGACCCTGGGAGGGTCTCAGTGGGCACCGCCGTCCTGGAAGGGCCTGGTGGTACCACCACCGCCCCCTGGAAGGGGCCCTTGGGGAACGCCACCGCCTCTGGGGAGGGCCTGTGGAAATCACTTTCCCTGGAAGGGCCCCTGAGGGGTACCACTGTCCCTGGGAAGGCCCCTACTGTGGTCGCTGCTGTCCCCGCAAGAGCCCCTGGGGGCCTCCCAACACCAGTCACAACCCTGGGGACGCTTCTGCCTCGGGATGGCACCTGGGAGAGTCCCGTCTCTGGTATTGGAGGCCCCAGAGGGGCGTCCTGGGGGGCTCCTGTGGGCACCACTACCCCCGGGAGGTCCCAGGGGCACCGTCGCCCCTGGGAGGGAGCCTTGGGGCTCCATCGCCCCTGACAGAATGTGGTGGCATTACCACCTCTGACAGGAGCCCTGAGGCGTCCACTCTTTCTGGGAGGAGCCTAAGGTTGCCCACCACCTCTGTGTACCCATGGTAGATCTCAGTGGGCGCCACCGCCCCTGGGAGGGGCCTGGAGGCGATACCGCCCCGGGCGGGGCCATAGGAGCACCACTATTCCTGGGAGAGCTCCTGTGGGCACCACGACCCCTATGGCAGGACCCTGGGATGGTCCCAGTGCCACCGTCGCCCCTGGGAGGAGGGGACCGTGGGGGCATCACCATCCCGGGGTCCTTGGGGTGCCAACGCTGGGAGCGTCACCGAACCTGGAAGGACCCCTGGGAGCACACTAGCGCTGGCAGAGTGCCCCTGGGGGAGGGGCTCCAGGGGTACCACTGCCTCTTAAGGGGCTGCTGCAGACGTCACGGCCCCTGGAAGAAGTCTGGGGCTTTCCTGCGCCCTATACCAAGGCTCCTAGGGGCGCTGCTGTTTCTAGGAGGGCCTTCCAAGGAGCGCCACACTGTCCCTACAAGAGGCACCTGGGGGCGCGACCGCCTGAATATGACGTTAAATAGATACACCGTCCATCCCACATTTCCAGTATCATCATATCCTGAACAATGAAAAGGAGAATATAAATATCAACAGGAAAACATAAATTTGGGTGTTGTGCTGACTGATTGCTCTGTTCTCATATTGCCTTTAATTTGGTGGATTTACATTTTATTCCACCAATCAGAGTTAAATGAGAATTGCTGGACGTAATGCAATATTGTCGACACCAACAAGCCCCTAGGGTGTGTGCTTTCCATGGAAGGCCTGGGAGCACCACCACCTGGCAGGACCCCTGGGGAGGGTCTCAGTGGAGCGCCGCCGTCCCTGGAAGGGCCTAGGTGACACCTGCGCCCCTGGAAGGGGCCAGGGGACGCCACCACCTCTGGGAGGGCCTGTGGAAATCACTTTCCTGGAAGGACCCCTGAGGGTACACCACTGTCCCTGGGAGGCCCTGTGGTCGCTGTATCCCCGCAAGAGCCCTGGGGAGTCTTAACACCCCTGTCAGAGCCCCTGGGACGCTACTGCCTCTGGGATGGCACCTGGGAGAGTCACCGTCTCTGGTAGGCCCCAGAGAGTCCTGCTGTGTGTGCCGGGAGACCAGGCGTTTTGCTCCATACACAGGACTTGGGGCACCAGGCTCACACTTTGGCTGAGGCAGCAGTGACTGGTGGCCACACTTGAGAACCTGAGCGTCCTGCTACCAGAGGAGGGCCCCTGAGGTGCACCACCACCTCTGGCAATGCCCATGGTAGATCTCAGTGGGCGCCACCCACCGCCTGGGAGGGCTCCCTGGAGGCGATACCGCCTTGGGTAGGGCCCTTAGAATTTTTTTCCCTTATTCCTGGGAGGCTCCTGTGGGCACCGACCCCTGTGGCAGGACCCCTGGGATGGTCCCAGTGCCACCGTCGCCCCTGGGAGGGGACCATGGGGCACCACCTCCATTGCAGGGTCCCTTGAGGGGTACCAAGCGCCCCTGAGGGGCGTCACCAGCCTGGAAGGACCCTTGGGAGCACTGGCGTTTTGGCTTGGGGCCCCTGGGGAGGGCTCAGGGGTACCACCACCACCTCTGAGAGGGGCTCCTGCCGAAGTCACAGCCCCTAGAAGAAGAAGGGGCTCCTGGGGGGCACCACCGCCCCTAGGGCTCCTACGGGCGCTGCTTTCTCCTAGGAGGAGGGCCACTTTGAAATTCACTGTCCCTGCAACGGCCCCTGGGGGCATAACGTCACCACCTGAGAGATATGACGTTAAAATAGATACACCGTCCATCGCATTTCCAGTATCATCGTATCCTGAACAATGAAAGGAGAATAAATATCCAACAGGAAAACATGAATTTGGGTGTTGTGTGCCGACTGATTGCTCTGTTCTCATATTGCCTTTTAATTTGGTGGATTTACATTTTATTCCACCAATCAGAGTTAAAGTAAGGAGAATTGCTGGACGTATGCAATATTGTCGACACCACGCTCAAGCCCCTAGGGGGTGTACTTTCCATGGAGGCCCCTGAGGCACCACCACACTGTGGGGCCTGGGCGGGCCCCAGTGGTACCGCCGTCCTGGAAGGCCCTGGTTGTGCCACCACACTCTGGCAGGGCCTGGGCGGGCCCCAATGGGCGACACCATCCCTGGAAGGGCCCTTGGTGAATTGCCACCCCCTCCCCTGGAAGGGCCCGTGGGGACGCCACCGCCTCTGGGAAGAGGCCCCTGTGAGATTACAGCTTCCCAGGCAGGACCACCGAGGGGTACCACTGGCCCTGGGAGGCCCCTGTGGTCGCCGCTGTCCCGCAAGGCCGGGATTGTGGACACCAGAGCCCCTATCAGAGCCCCTGGGGACGCTACTGCCTCTGGGATGGTACCTGGAAGAGTGCCACCTCTGGCGGGGCCCCAGAGGGCGTCCTGGGAGGGGGCTCCCTGTGGGCTTCCCACTACCCCTGGGAGGGGTCCAATTGGGCGCCGTCGTCCCTGTGAAGGACCCTTGGGGCTCCATCGCCCTGACAGGGACTTTGGTGGGCGTACCACCTCTGACAGAACCCTGAAACGTCCCTGTTTCTGGGAGGGCCCCTGGGGGCACCATCACTCGAACTGTGCCCATGGTATCTCTCGGTGGGCGCCACCGCCCCTCGGAGGGCTCCTGGAGACGATACCGCCCCTGGCAGAGCCCTTGGGAGCACCGCTATTCCTGGGAGGCTCATAGCCCAGGGCACACAACCTCTAGCAGGACCCCTGGAATGGTCCCAGGGTCACGTCGCCCTGGGAGACCATGGGGGGCACTACCGTCCCCTTGCAGGGTCCTTGGGGGTACCAACGTCTCCTGGGGGCGTCCTGCCGCACCTGGAAGGACCCTGTTAGCACTACCGCCCTCGCACAGCCCTGGGAGGGCTACAGGGGCTTCCCCACCTCCTCTGGGAGGGCTCCTGCAGACGTCACCGCACCTGGAAGGGGCTCCTAGGGGCGCTGCTGTTTCTGGGAGGGCCGCTGAGAGCGCCACTGTCCCTGCAAAAGGGCACCTGGGGGCACTGACCGCCTGAAGAATATGACGTTAAATAGATACACCGTCCATCGCATTTCCAGTATCATCATATCCTGAACAATGAAAAGGAGAATAAATATCAACAGGAAAACATAAATTTGGGTGTTGTGCCGACTGATTGCTCTGTTCTCATATTGCCTTTTAATTTGGTGGATTTACATTTTATTCCACCAATAATCAGAGGGGATTAAGTAAAAATTCCTGGACGTATACAATATTGTCGACACCACGATCAAGCCCCTAGGGGTGTGCTCATGGGAGGCCCCTGAGGAGCGACACCACATGGAAGGGCCCCTGGGCGGAGCCCCAGTGGGCACGCCGCCGTCACTGGAAGGGGCCCCTGGTGGGTGCCACCACCCCTGGCAGGGGCCTGGGCGGGCTCCAATGGGCGCCGCCGTCCTAGGGCAGCCCTTGGTGGTGCCACCGCCCTGTAGGGGCCCCTGGGGACGCCACCGCCTCTGGGAGGGCCCCTGTGGGAATTACCTTCCCTGGCAGGACCCCCGAGGGGTACCACTGTCCTGGGAAGGCCCTGTGAAGATCGCCGCTGTCCCCGCAAGAGCCGGTGTGGACACCAGAGCCCTGTCAGAGCCTGGGACGCTACTGCCTCTGGGATGGTACCTGGAGAGTCACCGCCTCTGGCGGAGCCCCAGAGCCCGCGTCCCTGGGAAGGCTCCAGTGGGCACCACTACCCCTGGGAGGGTCCCACGGGACGCCATCGCCCCTGGGAGGGCTCCTGTATGAGCCTGTATCCTGGGAGTGTCAATTGGGCGCCGTCGTCCTATGAAGGACCCTTGGGGTTCCCATCGCTGACAGGGCACCTGGAGGCATTACCACCTCTGACAGGAGCCCACAGAGGCGTCCCTGTTTCTGGGAGGGGCCCCTGAGGCACCACCGCCTCGGGCAATGCCCATGGTACATCGCCAGTGGGCGCCACCGTCTAGGTGGACTCTGGAGGCGATACCGCCCAGCGAGGCCCTTAGGAGCACCGCTGATCCTGGGAGGCTCCTGTGGGCACCACGACCCCTAGAAGGACCCCTGGGATGGAACCAGGCCACATGCGCCCCTGGGAGGATCATGGGGCTCCACCGTCGCAGGGGTCCCTTAGGGTGCCAAGGCCTCTAGGAGCGTCACCGCACATTGGAAGATTCCTGGGGCACTGGCCCGCCCTGGCAGGTGCCCTGGGAGGGCTCGGGGAGCACCACCGCTTCTGAGGGCTCCTGCAGATGTCACCGCCCCTGGAAGGGCCTCCTGGGGTACCACCGGCCCCTGGCCGGAACTCCTACAGGCGCGCTGTTGTCCTTGGGAGGGCCGCTGAGGCGTCACTGTCCCTGCAACGGCCCCTGGGGGCGCCACCACCTGAGAGATATGACGTTAAATAGATGATGCACCGTCCATCGCATTTCCAGTATCACTCCCTTATCCTGAACAATGACAAGGAGAATAAATATCAACAGGAATACGCGATTTGGGTGTTGTGCCGACTGATTGCTCTGTTCTCATATTGCCTATAATTTGGTGGATTTGCATTTTATTCCACCAATCAGAGTTAAGTAAGGAATTGCTGGACGTATGCAATATTGTTGACTCCACGCTCAAGCCCTAGGGTGTGCTTTCCTGGGAGGCCCCTACGAGAGCGCCACCACACCTGGCAGGACCCTGGGCGGGCCCCAGTGGGCGCCGCCGTCCTGGAAGGGCCCTGGTGTGGTGCGACCGCCCTGGAAGGCTCCTGGGGACACCACCGCCTCTGGGAGGTCCCCTGTGGGAATCATCTGCCCTGGCAGGACCCCTGGTACCACTGTCCCTAGGAGGCACCCATGAGCGCTGCTGTCCCACCAGAGCCTCGGCAGCACCACCCGCCCCTGTCAGAGCCCCTGGGGACGCTACTGTCTGGGATGGCACCTGGGAAGAGACACCACGCGCTCAAGCCTGGGTGTGGGCTTTCCATGGGAGGCCCCTGGGAGCGCCACCACCGCTGGCAGGACCCTGGGGCGGGCCCCAGTGAGCACCGCCGCTGGTGGTGGCACCGCCCCTGGAAGGCCCCTAGGGACACCACCGCCTCTGGAAGGACCCATGGGTGCCTGCCATTGTCCGTGGGGGGACCCATGGAGACGCTGCTGTCCTGGAAGGGGTCCATGGAGACCTCTTGCCCCTAGGATGACGCTGGGGGCGCCACCGCTCCTGGCAGGGTCGCCCCGTCTGCTGCTGAGCCCCTGGGGGAACGCCACGTTTTCTGGCAGAAGGGCCCCAGAGGGCACCACTGTCCCCTGCAAGGGCCCTTGGAGAACACTTACCGCCCCTGGCAGGGGGCTACTCTGGGAGCGCCACCTCTCTGGGAGGGGCCCATGGGTGCTACCGCCTGGTAGAGACCCCTAAGGGTGCACCGCTGTCCCTGGGAGGGCTCCTGTGGGCAC